CTCCATGGCTTCTATAGTTCTGTTTTAAATAGTGGAAGTTTTCTGAACCTGGAACATGCAGTGTGCGCAGACCCTCTTGAGGGTCAAAACCAAAGGACACATTTGCATGAGTCCAGGTGAGTGGGGTATGCAGGAGAATGTCCTGCGTGAAAAAAATTATGCTTCACCCTCCTGGCTGGCCCCATAGAGATGAGTGTTAGTATTACCATTAGCCAGGGGAGCACTTCTGTACCTCGTGCAGTAGGAATTGAAAGGCTGTACAAAACAGCTGAAGGGACAGAGGTTTAGTCCCAAATCCTTTTATATATGCTGTTCATAACAGCTGTCCACATGTGCTGTACATGTGATCATATAGATCCAGAAATAATGTCTGGATCTTACCCAGTGTATTAGAAAGAAACCTTCATCTAGTACTCATAGTCATCTTCCAGGTCTTCCCCTGCAGTTGCAGCTTCCAGTGCAGCCAGAGCTGCTGCAACTTCTGCATCTTCCTCCTCAATTTCTGCATTGATGTCTTTATGGTTGGGGTGTGTGGGTGCCTGTGCTACTTTGGTAACAGCCACGGCAGTGATACCACCAGTAATGCCCTCACTCAAACTTGTGGAGTCAGTTTTAAAAGGTTGAATACTGCTCTCCTTCATAGGCGAAGGTGCGTCCTGTATTGCGGAAGGCCCAGTGGTTTGGTCTGAATGCGCACAATTGACTGAAAAGCTATCATTTTCAACATAGTTCCTGGTTTGATTGCTGTTTGGGGGATAATCCGTATCTGGCAGGTTTAGGGCATTGTTTTGTGTCTCCAGTATTGCACTTCCTTTGAGAAAGATGCTGTCTTCTGCAGACTGGGAATTCTCATCTTGAATACTGCTTGGCTTGTTGCAGGCTGCCTTCCTCTGCCTGCCTGCCTCTAGGTCAATTTCTTGGCCAGACTCATTTGGTTTAGTGTAAAAGTCTCTATTGCTGGCTGAAGAAGCCTCTGACTGGCTGGAGGTTCCCTGTTCACTGGCTTCTTTCACTGGGTTTGTGCTGGGATTGAGCATGGAGTGCACTCCAGCACAGGAGTTGCCACCATTGACTGCAACACCAGGCTTTGCAACACACTTCACAAGGCCATCCTCTTGAAAATCATCGCCTCCGTGGTTCCAGAGAGTTTCTTTTGTGGTGTTTACCTGATTTTTATTTTCTGTTCTGTTTAGCTCATCCTTCTGGAGTTCATTTTTGTGTTCTTGAATTTCACTGTTCTCTTTGAATTTGGATTTATTGCTGCCTTGCTCATGGTGTTTATAGCTGTTTACTTCATGAATGCATCCAGGTGATTGTACTTCTTCTGGATCAAAAATGTAGCTGGAGCAAATTTGTAGAGAAAATGTTAATCATGCTGTTAATCAGTATAAATAGAAAAAGGATTAAGCTTGATTTTTAAGCTGCAGATCTTAAGGAACTGCTGTCACTAAGCTTTACCTGGGGTGCCGAGAATGCGCTAAACTGAATGGAAATGCTGAACTGTGCTATAGGCTGCTGTCTCCCGGGACCAACCGTAACTAACTGCTGTAGTGATGTTCACCAGGAGTGTAAGGAGGGTGTCAGAATCTTGTGCTGGTTGTTGCATGTTTCCAGCTTTATTTTTTATTTTCTCTGAGGGGTTGATTAGCCAATGAGTAGTCATCACATAGATTGTTAACTAATATGTCCTCGTGTAGTTGCTAAAAATCTGTTTTATTTTCCTGGTCTTTTTCTTTTCAAGCCTTATCTTTTTGTCTTTTTTTATTTTTGTCCCCTCCTTTTCCCTTTCTTACTCAATTTTTCCTCTCACTCCATATTTTCCTTGACTTATTTCTTCCAGCGCGCTTCTCTTTTCTTTATCTCCCCTCTTTCTCTCAGAGCAGTTTCTTTCCTGCTTCCTTATCTGTTCTAGAGATGTGGCCAAGGGAGGGAGCACCCATCAAGTAGGGCTGAAGTGTTGTTTTTCTAAAACTATTTACTCTTCCTCTCCAGGGAGACTTTTAATAGGGGAATTCTTCCCACAACTAACTGCATTTAAAAGCTATGATGGAAGCAAGGGTCTGTAGTTCATTTTGATTGCTTAGGAGAGAGGGAGGATCTGACAAAGTCTGTGCTTCTTGTTCTGCTGAGTTGAGGGAAGCTCATGCTGCCTAAATGAGAAGAAGCTTTCCTAAAGATGAGTTTTCAATGCCATACAGTTTTTCTGTGGGATAAGAATTATGGAAATGGACTTCAATTACAGTAAATGAAACAGACATTCACAGGAAATCAGTATGCCTGTGCTCTGGCATGACTTTCAAGACACTGTAAACTTCAGGAAAACTCCAGCCTTGTAAATAGGCTTAATTTCAGCAACAGGTGTAGGGGAGCACAGACACATGTTTTAATGTATTTCTTTTATTCAATTTGAGCAACTCTTGTTCTGTTGTACCTTTGTATCATTTTGCAGCACCTGCACCCCATCTGGATTTTCTTTAATCTGAAAAGAGAGAGAGAGGGAAGGCAAGGGAGAGGGGAAGTGAGTGAAGCATTATGAAATTAATGTATGGGCAATTGCATTGAAAATTATGCTCATGTTTAGAAGGGTTTTATTAGCTAAAAGGATGCCTACACAAGAATGGATGCAGTACAATTCAAGGTCTTGTTAGGTTGCTATCTTGCGTTGACAGTGGCCTTTAGTTGGAGAAAAGTCTGGGGAAGAATTTATCAGTTCTTAAACAGATAGTGGTGTTCTCCCAGAATATTTTCCTAAGCAATTTTATAACTTGGGGACTCCTAAGTCAAATTAGTATGTCTTTGTGATTTGTTTGTTTGTTTTTAATTTATTTGGCAGCTGTTGATGGACTTGTTTTCCATGAATTTGTCCAGTTGTTTTCTAAACTCCAGTAAACTGCTAGCACCTACATCATCCTTTACTGGGAGTTTCACAGCCCAGCCTTGCCTGTGTGAAGCAGCACCTGCTTTTGTTTGGCTTGAACCTGGTTGTTGCTGGCAATATTTGATGCCTTCTAGCTCTTGTATTGGCACAGATGGTGAGCATCACGTCCTGTTGTCACTATAGTACCCCTGTGCTGCCCCTTCAGTTCGGATATGCAGTCTGAAGAATCCTCACCTTTTTTACATGTTACCCATACTGACATTGTTTCCTGCCTATAGATCATCTCTGTGGTGGTTCTCTGGGTCTTTTGCATTTCAACATCCTTCTTAGATGAGGTGTGGGAACCAGAAATGCAGAGTTCTCAAAGTGTGGGGAACCAGAGATTTGTTCTTTCCTAATAGCTCCTGTCCTCAGTTGGCTCTGTGACAGCTGCTGAGCACTGAGGTGATATTTTTGTGGAACTATCTGTTAGACACAGACGTATTGCTGGGATTGGCACTATTGTATGCAGTGTGTTGCACCTGCATTTTACTACAGTGAATTCTTCGGAGTTTAGCTAGAACAAGCAGAGTGTCTGCATTTTGCTACATCTCTGTATACTGCAAGCTTTTTGTGTGTGTGTGTGTCATTTCCTGACCTAGTGAGATGCTAAGAGCTATCTGTTACATGTTTCATATGGCAAAGTCTTTTATTATGGGAAGAAATAGTTTGCTAATTTGGACCCTTGAGAACTTTTATGTTCTGAACCTAAAGTGAAGACACAGGTCTGAACTTCCCAGAATCCTAGAAAAAACATTATTCTTTATGGGCTTTCTTATTTCAAGTTAATCAAGTCAGGACAGGTTGTTAACATGTTTTGGCCATTGTTATTCAGGCTCTTCCTTTTTTTCTTGAAGCGTTTTACAACCTTGCATACTTCTGCCATTGCCTAAGGACAGCAGCTCACTTCACATAAACCAGAAATTGATGGTGCAAGGTCAGGGCATTTTCTAGAGTAATTTGTTCACAAAACACCAAAGGAAAGTGGTATTGATTTATTCTTACCAGGCATGGCCTGAACTGCACACCAGTGACTATACTAGCAGAAATTACAGTCAAAAGTCTCTATAGTAGGGCCTTATTGTCTCACTTTTCTTCCTCTAAAACCTGGCGAAGAATTCCTCTGGTGTTAGCACTGAACACAATGCCTGATGTCAAGCCCTTCATTTCTGGAGCCTCTAAAGGCCTACAATAATTTAGCAGTGGGTTTTTGCTAGGGGTATAACTGCTCCTACCTATGCCTTTTGTCTTTGTCTGTACATGAACTGTTCTGGAGCAGAAACTTCGGTCGGGAGTAGCCAGCTTGCTGTAGCTCAGTGCCTGTTGGCATAGCTAGTAAGCCAGCTGCTTTGCTTCCTCTGTCTTGGTGCTGCTTCTCTCTCTTCCTTAAATGCACTCTGCCTTCCACATCTCTGCTGATCTCGTGCTGTGTGTTGTCATCCCCCACCCATCACCAACATCATAGCAGGAGTTCTGATACAGGATTTTTCATCTGGAAAGGATGCAATAACTGGTGATGTGGTTGTGTGTACTGACTCTCCTTATGTGCAGTTGCTCTACAGTATGAAGTTGTTTGGACAGGTTTGACTAGATATGGGGCTCATTTGAGCTGGTTGGCATAGCCTTCTTTTCCAGTCAAAGAGAAATTCTTAATACAATTTGCTTTGATCGTGTTAAAAGCTGAATTAGCTATAGCCCTTCTTTAGGTTAAGACTGTTTTGAAGCTAATTCAGTTGAGCTAAACCCTATGTGGACATTTGTTTTGATTTGACTGAAATCTTTAGTTTTAGCTTAAACTTGCTGAAAGAACAAAAAGGGTGTAAAGTTGACCAGCTGTTGATAGACTCAACCTTCAAGTCTCAGCGTTTGGCAAGTTACCACGTATTAGATAAGTCACCGTGTGATCTCTCTTCATGGGAAAGGCAATGTAAATGGGCTTATGTTAAGCCTCTTTCTATACAGACTTTTACCATCCCTCATGCTTGCCATGGGCTAAGAATATGCAAATATTATTTCAGCTCTGCTAAGTCATGATAAATTCAATTGCTGTCAGTTGCCTGTGAGCCCACTGAAATGTCCACAAAGACTTTGGCTTGGATTTAAAGTTTATAGGTTTGGTGAAACCAGTCTTAGTTTGTATGTAGACCAGTTCTGAGAACAAATACTGCTTCTAGCTGGGTGTAGGCTCTTCAGGTCAGGCTGCTCCTGTTTAAACTTTTGTCTGACCAATTTGCTACTCAATGTTTTTATTTATACTTTTTTTTTTTTAAGCACGAAATCTTGCTCAGAGGTTTTAGCCATTGGGAACTGCTAACTGCTGTCCTTTATTGTGTTGTAAAGATGCCTGTGATCATCATAGAAGGCAATTATAAATAGAAATTATTGTTGCTGTTTTCACAGGAAGTACTCTCCTGGGTGTTTTTTTTTTTGTCATTGTTGTTTTTGTTTTGTTTGGGTTTTTTTAAAATTTTATTTACAATTACTCTTTGAATTATCTCAGCAGCTACTCTGCTAAGTTTTTCCACTGATTAGTTACAACTGATCTGTCCTCTGGCATGAATAAACTATTATATATGGAAAATACTTTGGTTTACTATCTTATAAATTATTTCACATCCCAGAAATAAGAATATGGTTTTAAAATGTTGCTGTCTGAACATTGGTTTGTTTTTTTTCCCGTGCTTCCATACTTACAGTTATCTTTCAAGACAAGTTGGAAAATAATTCTGGGGAACAAATTGCTTTTATGGCATGAAAAGGCATGCTTTAGTCCTACTTATGTTGTTTTAGTTATCTTGCTCTAAAGACTTGTGTATTGTATGATGTTTGTAGTTCCATTAACGGATAAGTAGTATTAATAAGCTCCTCTCTGGAGCAGTTTGACTTGAGCACATGCTACAGACTTGCAAGAAAAAAGGGTTAGAGAGCTCAAGCAATGCATAATGATGTTATCTGGTACTGCGTTTCAAAACATTGCATCCTTTTTATGTTCATACATTTTTTTGCCTTTTTATAAGACATTCTGTGCTGCTAAATTTGTTAGATAATTTCAGATGGACATGACATGATGCAGAACGCTCTCTTGCAGAACACTTTGGGGACTAGTTCCCTCCTAAAAGAGGCTGCTTGTCTAAGCAGCAGAAAATGCTTGGCCTTAACATTTACATCCACAGAATTCAGATCAAACTGCTATTAATCCTAAACATCATTCTGTCTCAATCATGAAATTCCTGAAGGCCTGTAAATTTTCCCCGTGAGGACAGGCTGAGAGAGTTGGGGTTGTTCAGCCTGGAGAAGAGAAAGCTCCAGGGTGACCTTCTAGCAGCATTCCAGTACTTCAAGGAGAGGGACTCTTGATCAGGAAGTGTGGTGATAGAACGAGGGGTAATAGTTGCAAACTGAAAGAGGGGGAGAGATGTTGCTGAGGCTAACAAGAATAGTGTCTGACTCCAAAAACGTAATCTTGCATTTCAAGCCCCAATGTGCTTTAAGAGAACTGTGCTTTGCTTTGTCAGATTTGAGAAAGACAACGTATCTGATTTTAAATTATGTAATAACATAGCTTCTATTGTCTATATAAATTATAGCTGTGTTATGAATAAACAAATGGCAAACGAAAGATAATGACATGAGAAGGGAAGGAGAAATATTTTGGAGAATAAATATGGCTTGACAGCCTTTCTTGATATTCTTGGAAGTTTACATAGAAACAGAAAAAGGCCAATCTTATTTTTGTTCGTGGTGTGTTTTTTCTTGTGTTTTGTTTTGTTTTGTTTTGTTTTTTAAACCCCTCCAGGAGCAGAGGCAGAAAAGCTGAGAGGAGAGCATATTAAAAGAGCTTTTCTAGTAGGTTGAGTTGATAAACTCTGGCTTGGTGACTGTTGATCTGGGTCATTCTTTCTAAGACAGTTGTTGGTTTTGTTTGTTTGAGTTTTTCCTCCCCTACTCCCTGGTGCTTTATGAGCTTTCCCTGTTTCTTTGGCTTTTTTCTCTCCTCCATCCTTTCCCACTCTAGATTACGAAGTAAGGAGTTTTTCCCTACGTGAGGATTATCTGTGCTGCTGAGCCTGAATGATGCATCTCCTAGGGGCCTGGGGCACCTCTTTCTGACAACTTTTTCCAGTAGAGACACCTTTTGGACTAGACCCTGCCAGTGTCTTCCCCATCAGTCTGCTGTGCTTTGCACTCCTCAGTGAAACCTGTCCATTCTCAGGGTACCAGCCTGAGCTACTTGTCTCTTCGCAATGGACAGGAACCCTCATTCATCAAAATGAAATCTGGCTGCCTGACTACTAACACAAAATTTACTTAGTGGGTTTTTTTTGCTGGCGAGGTCTCATAACGCCAAATGCTAGACAGCTAGGAGACACATTCACAGAAGTAAATGTGGGAAGAGAAAGTGTTGGCACAGAAATATGTACAGAGGGAATATAAAGAATTTGGGGTGGGAATAACCTTAGAGAGCTGTAGCACTTGGCGAGCTTCTCCTAATGGGAGGTGCGGTTTGCTTTCTGTGCTGAGTAGGCATTCACACCCCACGAAGATT